AAGAAAAAAGATCTTCAGGATGTAAGAGATGCTGGACCCGGTTTCCAGCAAGTGAAGCTCCCCACCAACAGAATCTGATGGAGCCTCCTACAAACGGATCACTTTCAGGAGGATGCCATTATCACCTCGGAGTCCTCAAGTCACACCCTGCCTGAAGTTTCAAAAAAATGCCAATTAAAAGTTGCCTATTCAAAGTAGGAGCTGAAGAGGGCCGCGCGAAAAACGTGCGCTAACGATGAAGCGGCGATAGCGGCGGCGGTGCCCCGTCGTTGGCTGCGGCTGAGTAGGACGCAACGTCTGAGCATGCGGACGCTGATCCTCTCCGCGAGGCGCCTACCTTGCCCGGCACCATAGCTGTGTGAGAGCTATGGCGATAGTGCCCTGGCGTAGCCTAGCCCTTGAGTGGGTTAGGGAGTGCCTTTGCACTCTTATGCCAAGGCATCCTGGCAGGTCTGCATCTGACCTCCATACCAACCTTCATACCTAACAGGATCTCGACACCAGATGTTACATGCCCAGTTGGGCGATGTACATAATAACCGAGGATCTGCAATGTGATAAAAGGGACTGAATGGACAATGCAGTGCAAGTAGAATCTCAACAAGCAATGTGCATTCCGATACATACAAAATGGTGCTTTTATAGCGCAGGGAAGACTTTAGATACAAGTCCTGACCTGACCGGGACTGACCCCATTCACGTAGCACAAGATAGCGAAGCAGAATGCTAGAATGCAAATGACTAGCCCAATCAATGTTCAAACGCAGACCAAACATGCATCATGTCCAACACAAGGTGTGAAGGAGCCTGGCGCTATACACAGGAAAGAGGCGCCAGGTCCAGACATACACAGACGAAGAGGAGGGGATCAGACGAAGAAGAGGAAGGGGGAGATGGGAAAGTCGTCAACACCAAGTCTCGTTTCAAGTCACAAATAATCCCTCTTCGATATGTCTGAAGTCCAATGTCGAGTCTGGATCCAAATGTCACCAAGAGCTCTCTCTCTCTCTCTCTCGTAGTCTGCTGATGCAGTGAAGTCAGATAGCGGGAGGGTGAGAAGGAGATGGTGGACTGAGAAGACGAAGAAGAAGAACTCTCTCTCTCTCATGCGTCAGGTACTCACCTGTGAAGATGGCGCTGTGCTGCAGGTACCTCGAAGACGAAGCTGGAGCAACGGCGCTGCAGGTAAGTACCCTGGCCTCCGCCCAATCTCTCTCTCTCTAGTACTACTCTAGTTATGGTGCCCAGCGCTGAAGACTACTGCTAACGCTACAAAGCGCCCAGCGCTGAAGACTACTGCTAGCGCTAATACTACTCCTGCAGCGCTCCTCCAGAGTGCTGCTGCCGAAGTTCAATCCTGAAGACTACCTCCTTCCTCCTGAACTGCACGTGAAGTGCCTGGGAAGTACCTATGAACTACCTCCCAACTACCTGCAGCCTGCAGGGTGGGCCAGTCTTTTTTTTT